GAGAGTCACTTCTCTTTGGCTCTAATAGTCCAGAGTGCATGGCTGTGGACAACCCAACTGGAGGGACAGCCACTGGGCACCTATATTTTCTACTGCAAAAGCCAGGGGTCATGGCTGGCGATCCCTAGAACCAGCCCCTCAAAAGGCAGAGCCAATCCTCCATCCTCCCACCACCGCCTACCACCAGAGGAGTGAGTTCCCCAGACAAGAGTTCGCATCAAGCCTTTACTTTATCGCTGTTGTTGATGTCTGAGATGCCTCATAATAACTGGGATAGATTTCTTAGGGAGCCAAATAATGGGATGCATTTCCACCCTGGCTTTATAATTAATGTTTGCATCATTTATCTTTCGTGGAGAGATTATTCTGACTAACGAGGTTCTGGGCCACTAATTCATTACGCTGCCTTGTCACTCCCTGCTCCTTCTTATTACCCAGAAATAGACTCATTAGTCAGAGTTCAATGACAGGAAGAAATTGTGTTCGTTAATTTAATTCCCTCACTCACTTCTGGGCCCATGTTTGTCCGAAATTGGGGATTAGAAGAGGGAAAGTTTCCTCCTCTTAAGTCTTTGCTTCTAACTCATTAAGTCGTCCACCTCACCCCTGGTCAGTCAAGAGAGAGCCGGCGGAGCTCATCAGGGAGGCTGCCCGGGCAATTCCCTTTCTTAACTCAAAGCTGAGTGGGTTAGGGGCCACAGCCTGGGGACTTAGAGACTTGTAACATATAATCAACTTTTTAATTTTTCCTTAATCTTCAACTGTCGGTTGATATTATGCCATGGCTTGAACGCGTCACCCAAGTTCCTGAGCTGAGAGGCTGGATCCTCAGTGCTACAGTGCTGAGGGGCGGGGCCTTTCAGCAATGATGAGGCTATGGCTCTCTGAGAATAATCCATCCCAGACTCAAGACAAAACAAGACAAAAATTGTGAGAAGGATGAGTTTAACCTCCACGTATGTACACATACTGAAACATATTCACAAGCACGTGTTTATGCAACATTGTCTTCCCAAGGTCACTTGATGAAACAGGAAACAGTAGTTTTCAGCCAGACATACAGACCAAAGACTAATGCTGAATACACATGGCTGTAGTGAGGACCGCATAGGAAGAAGGTAGAGTCCAAACCAGCCAGTGATTTTGGAGTCTCCACAAAGGATCCAGGTCCTTCTCTTCAAGGACCAAAAGGAGGAATCTTAAGGACAGAGAAGTGGATGACAGGATCTCTTGGGCCATACAAAAAGCCCATTCATGTCCCAATACTGTGACATGAAGGGTCAAGGCTGAGGCATGAAGTACATCTCCTCCTCTTCTGTGGGGCCCTCACGTCCCATAGTCTGTCCTTGTGGAGAGTTCGTTTCTCTAGACTTCAACAGATGAAGCTGAATCTCTCAGATGTGTTGAGGAAGAAAATATTTTGGAATTATCTGCTCTGGATGTTTACCCACCAAGGATCTGAGCAATAACTCGACTTTCATCTGCCATCGGAAAGGGATGTCAACCTCCCTGTAAATGATCCCACTGGTGTTAGGGTATCCTTCTCTCTTCTCTGAGTGTAGCTTTGTTCCTAAGGGTCTTTGTTCATCAGTGCTACACGGTAGATGGGGAGGGTGAAGACTCCCCCCACCCTGCTTTGCTCTTGAGCACACAATGGGAATGCCACCAGAGACTTTTGGCTTTTAATTAGCTCATTGCTGGAGATCCCGGCTTCTTTCATCTCAGAATGTCAGGATCAAATGTGTATGCTGGGTGCTTTTCTCCTTCCCCATATTAGCAATTCCAGGAAGGGTACCCATAGCCAGGGGCCAGGGCTCTGTGTTCGAGAGCGACAGGAAGAGGCCAGAGCAGGTAACCCCTACTGTTTTGATGTCTTACACATTGGCAGTAGATGCTGTATTTATGCTAAGTAACAGTGTATCCTTAACAGTTTGGCTTCAGGTGTCTGTAACTCCTGGTTCTCTTTAATGAAAGACTGTTCTGGGAATGGAAAGGAGGAGGCAGGGAGGAATGCCTGCAGGTTTATGAATTGCCTTGAATTCAAGGCAGTCGTCCTCCCAAGGGAGTGAGTATGACAATCGGTGAACAACATCCGGGAGAAGATCGAGGCTGAGGCATGCTCACTAGGACCCTGGAGCCCTTGCTTGAGGAATTCAACAGCCTTCAGGGAGAAGAACAGCTGTGTTATCTTTAACTATCAACAGCAAATGCTAGATTCAGTCAAGTAACCTTGGTGAACATTTATTGTCATGCCCAGCGCATACCACGTATCACTACATCACTGTGCTATTAATGTTTATTACAATAACTGTTAAGAAATCACAATGGATGCTGAGCTGAGGATGTAACTCAGTTGTCAAGCACTTGCCTGGTATGTGTGAAGCATTGGATTTTATCCACCGTACCAAATAAACTGGGTTTGATAGTTCACACCTGTAATCTCAGCATGGGGAGGTAGAAGCAGGTCTTGAAGGCCAGCCTGGGCTACATGGTCCCCCTTTAGAATAAGAAACATAAATAAAGAAGTAGATATCAAGTGAGATACTTCCTGAACTGCTTATGACATGGTTTGAGTTTTCAAAGCAGGGGTAGGGATGCTCTATACCATTGCACAGGGCAGTGATAGGGATGCTTTATACCCATTGCACAGGGCAGGGGTAGGGATGCTCCATACTCATAGTACAGGGCAGGGATAGGGATGCTCTGTACCCATTGTACAGGGCAGGGATAGGGATGCTCTGTACCCATTGTACAGGGCAGGGGTAGGGATGCTCTGTACCCACTGTACAGGGCAGGGGTAGGGATGCTCTATACCATTGTACAGGGCAGGGGTAGGGATGCTCTATACCATTGTACAGGGCAGGGGTAGGGATGCTC